TGCATGTGTTGATTTTCACATTCGAAGGAGGACTCTATTCATGTTTTTAATATCAGGGTTTCCAAAGCCTTATATAGTATTTAATTGTTTATAACTTTCCGGTGTGAGACAAATGCTTTAACATGCCCCTCATCCCAAATCGGACTGGACAATAATGGGTGTATAAATGGACCAAGCAAACTCTTAACAAGCTACCCTTAATCATGAGTGTTAAACAAGCCGTCAAACCACAACCGAAATTGGCTCTGATACCATGTTAAGAACCGGGATTTCATCCTAAAAAGTCAACCTGATAGGAGGAGGAGCTCAAAACCTTAAATAGTGTTTAATTGTTTTTTTTTTGGAAAGATAGTGTTTAATTGTTTTATATCTTTTTGATGTGGGACAAATGCTTTAACACATGTTTGCTCTCTTTGCCTTTGTTTTTAAATACTCGCAATCTTGGTTCAATCCATGACTAATACCCGAAAAATCCGTACGGAACTGACCCGTTTCAAATGGGGTGGGTAGGATCCGGTTCCTACTTTGAGAATTCGTGTATCCGACCGAACCTATCCAATCAGTGTAACCGACAGTTCCTATATTTTTAAGATTATCTGACCCTATCTAACACGTGCCCACTCCTAATGGGAGATGCTCTTAATGCCTTAAGGCTTGAAGGGCAGGCGATTCTTATTATTTTAATATTACTACTGTAAGGAATAAATGTAATTAGATTTTGATGATGCTAGGATATTTAGATTAGAATTTTAGAGTACCCCCACTTAGATTTTATGTATTAGAAATTTTCAGTTGTAAGTATTAGTCTAGTCGACAATCAGAGTTGCTCTATGTGGATCTTATCAGAACTGCTAGGAGAACTGCTCCATGAGAGTTGCTCCTCAGAGAAGCATCAGAACTGAGAATTGCCTTCAGAGATGCTCTTGGCAATTTATGAGAGATGCTAGCTGAACTTCAAGTCTGATGATCCATGAGAGCTGCACATCAGAGAAGCATCAGAGCTGCTCATCAGAGAACCATCAGAGTTCGATGAAAAGCTTCATCAGAATTCAACTTCAGAGAAGTATCAGAGTTCCCTATCTAAGTTCATCAGAATCCAAGGTCAGAATACCATCAGAGAATCTCATCAGACATGGATGGACACTTAGAAGATTTCGAAGCTGCTTTCAACGGCCGTATAACAAACGGAAAATCCTCTAACGGCTAGGAGATATTTCATCTAAGGAAAGCATTTAATGCTCATTTAATGAGCCTGATACGCTGTGGAGTTATTGCAGATGATTGACCGAGATTCCTGGAGAATATTATACAAAAATAGAAACCTGCCAAAACTGCGGGTCCAACCGGTCAACTCCACAGTATGCGCATTCAATGCAGTTGTCTCCTCCTCCAACGGGTAGACAACTCCCAGTATAAAAGGATACTCATGAAGAACAACCGGACAACTTTTGCTCTCTACAATCATTCTACAAGCTCTCTTGAGATTCAACCTTCAAATCCATCTACAAGAAAAAGCTTACGTTGGGAAGATTGAATATTCAAATCTCTCAAACCCAACCAAGAGCAAAGTTCATCCAGTTCTTCAACACTTCAAGATCTTCATCAACATATCTTTTGTAACGAAGCAAGTTGGAGAAAAACTCTGTTTTTCAGAACATCTTCTGCAAAGAAGGGCGTCCAATTAACTGGAGCAGTGAAGTGGTGATACTTCCGGGAAGCTCAGTGAACGGACCAGTCTTAGAGGAAGCAAGGAACTGCATCCTAGGAGACATCTAGACTTGAAGAAGACGTGGAGCGCTTCTTAAGTTCTAGGGCTAAGGCTTTGTAACTGTTTACCTCAAAGCTTAGTGGAACAGTGGACTAGAGGAACGCGTTGTTCCTTGAACCACTATAAAAACACTGGTGTCATTTACTTTACACATTTACTTTCTGCACTTTAGAACATAACTGCATAACTCCCTAAGAACTTGGACTCTGTGTTCAGCAGATCTTGTTCTCAGAGTTATCAGAAGAGCACTTGCCTTAGTATTTGCTTGAGGCTACCCGGGACTCTTATCCGCTGCAAGACCCAGTTCTGATCATCAGAACTCGACCCTCTCTGATAAGTCAACTTTGACTTAGAGAAAAATTTAAAACGCATAACAGTCTATTCACCCCCCCCCTCTAGGCTGTTACCAACTCTAACGGGACCAACAACTACGTTCATCTCACCTTAAGATTTTGATTAAAAATCCAAACTTTTTAAGCAATAAGTATATTATATAATTTGGGTAAAAGTGGAGAAGTAGTTTGTGTGGGTATATAATAAAATGAGCTAATTATTGATAATTGTGATGTTACACATGTACTATTTTAATACGAAGTATGTGATAATTAAAATAACGATTATGAGAGTTAATTATGTTCTAAAATGAAACATTTAAACGAGACATTCAAAAAAGGCAATTGATAATTTTTAAATGTAATGAAGGAAATACCAAATTAAGAGTCATCTAATAACAATGGTATGGGCTAAATCAAGCGGACCTACTTAAATAATTGAAATTCTAGTTGAAGCGAATTAAGAGTTTGTTTGGAACTGATTCTGCTTGTGCTTCTTTTTTAAAACAGAAGTAGAATCAGAATCAATTTCCAGAAGCTGGTCTCCCCCAACTTCTCAAAAAACTGATTCTAGGAGTAAATTAGAGCATCAGAATCACTTCTGCACTTTCACTCACATACTACAACTTCTGCTCCTTGAATGAGTAGAAGCAGTTTTAAGAATCAGATCCAAACACTTCTTAAATTGATTGAATACTTCAAATTATGACAAAATTATGTTCAAATTCACAAATGTTCCTTTAAGGAATTTTCATTTGAGATTCTTTCAGATTAAATTTTTGGATGAAATTTGTGGGCATATCATGTTTTTCAAGAAGTGGAGATCACGTTCACCAAAATTAAGGCTTAAAATCCAATCGAGAAAACGGTTAAATAAATTACCAAAAAACACTAAGCTTTTTATATATATTTTGTCTCATTTTTTTAATAATTTATTTAATTGTCTTTTTGATTTAAATTTAAACTAAAAATTGGTGCACATGATCTATACTTTATGAAGAATATGCTCACAAAATTTCATAAAAAAAATCTCACTGAAAGCACCTCAAACGGAGGTGGGTGACCACGTTTTAGTCAAGAAATTCCTGACCAGAAAATTACACTGTTGTTAACTCTATTATAATAAATAAAATTTATTTGAAGGTGGCTAAAATAATTGGTTTAACAATTTTAGGTAATTCCGCGAGAGAAACACCTTCTTACTTATATTTATCATTTTATAGTTTAGTGTACATTACATCGGTCCTGTAATGTAAGAGCAAAATTATTATTTTACTAGTAACATTTAAGCTCAAAAAGTAAGAAAAAACGATTAGACTAGACTTAAATAGATTATCATAGTTATAAAATATAAGATATCAGATATTGGTCATGTTTGGTAAATGGCATTTCCGCCAAAAATTGGCTAGTTTGATAAAAATTTGGCGTTTTCAATGGGTCAAAATGTTGAAATAAAGTGTTTGGCCCGAAACACCAAAAACCAAAACGCTACAAAGAGGCCTTTTAGGATTAGCGGCTCTGAAGGTCTGTTTGCAACTGCTTTTAAAAAAGCACTTCTCAGTTTTTGGTTTTAAAAAAACACTTATTTTCCCAAACACTACAACTTTTAGTTTTCTCGGCTTCCGCGTCAAAAGTGCTTTTACTTTTTCTATTACACAAAAAGCACTTATTTTACCAAACACTACCCACTTTTGCTTTTCAAAATCACTTTTTTCTCAAACACTATCAACTTTTATTTAATCACTTCTCCCCATTTCATTAAAAAAACCACCTTTTAACACCCTGAATCAATTGAAAAATCTCGAGAATCTTGAGCGTTGGCTCGAAAACCATATTCCGCATACCACCTTTCCTCCGAAGAAAAATCGCCAGGCAATAGACTATCGCAGGCTTCTTCGCAAAATAAGAATCTCCAGGGACCTCTCAAATCGTCCCTGTTTTATTACGAAGGTGGGCAACTAGCTATCTTTTAAATATACACACTATTGTCATGTTACGAAACGAGTAATTGGGTTCACTGATTTTCAATCCTTTCTTAAGTCTATGTCCTGAACTTTCGTATGCCTATGCGCGTGTTTTTATTTTATCCCCTGTTTTTTTTTTTTTGTTTCTTTTTCAATGAATAATCTGTATCATTCAAATATGTCGATTATATGGTAGGAAACACTTGTATTTCATAGGAAACACTTATATGTTGAGTTATAAGATCATGCGTAGTACGGAATATTAAACAACAAATAAACAAATACGGAGTAATAAAACATATTGATGTCTTTTTATCTGTGAATCTCTAAAAGAAAGAGAGAATTCTCAAAATAGGAGTAAAAACGTTTTGAAATTCCAAAACAGCAGCATTATGTTTTTTATTTCTTGAATATGAGTAAATTTATGCCAATTTTGGAATTACAAGGCTTTAAACATGACATTTTTTTTCAAACATGGCAGATTACTCCTATTCAGGGAATAAAAAACATGATACTCCTATTTTAGAATTTCAAAACGCTTTTACTCCTATTTAGGGCAATTTCTCAAAAAATAGCTAAGTTATCAAACGTCTTTCTGTAACTCATCAAACTAATCCGCCGGTGGAATTCGCTGACTGAATCCACTATTTAGAACCCACTAACATTATCTGCTAACCGCCAATTGCCAAACAAGTTCATTTACCAAATTAATTCAGACTAGACCAGATTAAATTAACAAATTTCAATTTAAGTAAAGACAACCTAAAATAACAAAGTAAGAAAGTAAAAAATTAATAGAATTTGATTTAGGAAGTGGTCATATTTATTTGGACAAACTAAAAGGTACTCTCCGTAAATGTTTCTTGCAAAATGAGAATAAAATCCGAATTCAAAATCATTAAGAGTCGTCCAAAAAAAATTAAAAAAAATTGGCGGGAACATTTGGCGCGCCACTGCAATTATGCCGGGAAAACTCATCCTCTCTCCCGCATAAGAAGACACTGCTAGTACTACCAACCTCACTACCGTTCACCACTATTGAAGATAAACCTTCTTCTGCTACTCTTCCATTAGGTCGTCAAAACAATGGCCCAGAACCAGAGCTCCGCCTCTCCTGAGATTTCCGAGCCAACGCTTAAGATTCCCAAACTTGACCATCACCAAAACGGCGCCATCCCCGGATCCCCGTATTTCCGGGTCAAGAAGCTGTCGGAGAAAGCCGTTTTGCCTTCCAGAGGCTCACCCCTGTCCGCCGGCTACGATCTCTCCAGGTTCGGATTTCCCAGTTCCAACACGCGAAGAAAACTCGCATAGTTTTTTAATCTGATTTGAATGGAATCGTTTAAATTCGGGCGTATTTGTTTTGATAGTGCGGCGGAGGCAAAGGTTCCCGCCAGGGGCAAGTCTCTGATTCCGACCGATCTCAGCATCGCCGTCTCCCCAGGAACCTATGCTCGTATAGGTAAATCTCTTCTGAGTTCTGAAGTGTGATTATTTGAATTAAATCCCTTTTTATTTCAAATGTTGAATTGAATGATTGAAACTTCTCTGGAATTTCAATTTTATGGAACGATAGCGCCCAGATCTGGACTGGCATGGAAGAACTCGATTGACGTGGGAGCGGGCGTGATTGACGCGGATTACAGAGGGCCTGTTGGGGTGATATTGTTCAACCATTCGGATATCGATTTCGAGGTTAAGGTTGGTGACAGAATTGCACAGCTCATCATCGAGCGGATTGCAACTCCGGAGGTGGAGGAGGTTGAGGACCTGGATTCCACCGTGAGAGGCTGCGGCGGCTTTGGTTCCACTGGGGTTTGACCTCCCAAGTACCCCACCAGATAATCTTGTTATTGGTTGTAATTTAGGAGTTAATGGTGCTTTTGTTCTTTTTGTCCATGGAAGTATTAAGTAAAATGACTTGCTTATGGAAATATGAATTAGAATGACTTTAGTATCATGCTTTGATTTCACATTTGAAATTGAAGTGGCTTGTTATTTGTTAAATCGTTTTGTGGCTTGAAGGAGGCAAAAGAAATTACAGGGGTAGTTTTACAGTTTTTTTTAGTTTTACAGCTATATAGTAGTAGAATCTTTTTGTAATCATCCTTAAGGGCATGGTAATTAAGAAATGGAAAGACAATTAGGTGAAAAAACTGAAAATTTGACCAAGTAATGGCACATAATTGAAAAGGGAAAACTGGTTTTGTACAATTGAAATTTTTGCCAATGAGAGAAGTAATATCATTGACTCGTTGTTCTTTCTTTACACTATTCATGGTTCATTTAGAAAACAAACAAAAATAGAGTGGATAATTTAGGAATAGAATGAGTCATTAGTTTGAAACAAAAGATGAAATTTATTTGATTTTGATACCATTCGAATTACACTTTTGGTGTTGAATGCTACCTCCCTTCAAAATTATTCTTCCATGTGGGTTTTTCCCATGTAGGTGGGAAAAGTGAAAGAATTTTAACAACACAAATTATTCCTTAAAAGAAAGTGAGAAGAAAGTTTGGAGACATCCTAGAAAAGCAAGTGGGAAGAATATTATAAATATATAGGAGCTAGGGAGGGAAGTATATTTGATAATATTAGCTTTTTTTGGTGTATGGTTTTTTTTTCCTTAAGTTTTAACATTTTTCATTATTGTTCTCTCAAAGCAATCTCCACAATTTCATCTATAGAAACCAATTCACAATTTCACCAACTTCGGGATCCTGCCTAAAAGACAGTACACTATTTTTTTTACTTAAATAAGTTAAATGAATGTATTAGAGATGTTTTTACTTGGATTCAAATTTACTGGTCTAAACTGAAGTGGTAAATGTTTGGTCTCTGTGTATTTTATAACTACGGAAATCCGGTTTAATCTATTTAATATTTAAGTCTGATATGAGACTAAAAACAACCCAAAAACATCCTAACTATCTTTTCATTCAGAAACATTATAAATGGCAGTTCAAGCAAATTTCATTGGCCTTGACAGGGTTAACTCAAAGAATGAGAAAGAGTGCAATCTGCAAGCCACAAATTATGAGTATTAATAACAAATGTGTATACTTCGTATTTCAGTACTCAAGAGAACTGTAGAACTAGTCATGGACCCGGGCCAGGCCGGGCCTCAGGTTTTTTGAAGGAGGCCCGGGACCGGCCCGGGTAGCCACCGGGTCCGGTCCGAGTCAGGCCTCGGGTCAATTTTTTTTCCTTTTCCTAATTAACCCTCCCCCACCCCCCAAACCACCCCAAATGGCCCAATATACCCAGCCCAACCCGAAAAGATAAAAAAAATTGAAAAATAAAATAAAAAGTCCGGAATCGGGCCCGAATCGGCCGGGCCGGTTCGGCTTTTGGGTGACCCAAGCCCGCACCGAGAACCCCCCGGGCCGGGCCTACCCGGACTGGTCACTGGCCGGGCCGATTCAGCACAGTACCAGTCCCGGGCCGGTTCCGGGTTGGGCCACCCGGCCCGAGTCCAAGACTGTGTAGAACAAGCAATAATGTCATGTAGTCATATACTAGAATGACCAAACAAGTTTTTGGCCTTGCAATGATGATAAACTAGATATAAATAAAAGCCATATTCAAAAACCTCAAAGGAGTTTATCCCAACAAAACAAAAACGCTATTATTGATGCAACACTTTACGATGCAATTATATGGAAGTAACATCCCTCTATATCATGAATTCGTGATGGACCAAAAACTGGGTATAAAGATGAAAACATATAAGACAAATATACTATTCACAAAACTGCTATCTTTCATCTTCACCATACTCCTCACTCCACCCCAGGTCCCCAAGTGGGTGACAAGACCAAAAATGTGGTCCGAATTTCACTCCATCCTTGCTAAGGAGGAGGGAACCTTGAGTTGTACTTTCCCTTATGCCTACCACCTCCATACCCTCTTTTTCTGTAGCTACTACTTCTATCATCCCCCAATTTTCTCCCTGGAAAGTTGTTGTGATGATGACCATATTGGCCTTTCATTTCGCCATAATTTTCTTTGTGTTGATTGTAATTTGAATCCCACGTGTTACCCGAATCTCCCCCGAGTCTGCCATACTTATCTGTATCCCATTTTTTATGTTGAGAGTATTCAAAATTTTCTTTCGGATGATTGTATTTCCAATCTGGTTGCCCCCATCCACCACTGTCTTTCGGATAATCAGCATTCCAATCTCCTCCCCACCCGGACTGCCCCTCAACTCCCAACCCCCATTCTCCGCTGTTGCCCCACCCACTTTCTTTCATATTCTCAGTCTTCTGCCAGCCACTCTCCCACGGGTCTTCATCATTGTATTTCCAATCTGTTCGCCCCCATCCACCACTGTCTTTCGGATAATCAGCATTCCAATCTCCTCCCCACCCGGACTGTCCCTCAACTTCCAAACCCCATCCTCCGCTGTTGCCCCACCCACTTTCTTTCCTACTTTCACTCTTCATCCAGCCACTCTCCCACTGGTCTTCATTATTCCAAGAAAAATCATTAGCATCTTTATGAAACTGATCTTCTTCTTCACCCCAACCAGGCGCTGTGTATGCTTCGCCCGGGACGAGTGCATCACCAAAAATTATGACTGGATCATGGACTGGAGCGGGGTCCACGGATCTGCAGCATTCAAGGTCCAAGAGAAGGTCGGAATCGACCATGCAATCCCAATCTATTTCGTCTATATAAAGATCGGGGTCGGGCAAAGGTATGTCACATTCGGTGCCATGTGATTCTGACCAGAACCGCTTCTTTGCATTTTTAAATGCAACTTCTCCTGCTGAGCAATCCCACTTTACCACGTTGTCAAAAAGGAAGGCAAACTTCTTCATCTCCAATATAGTTGCCCAATCTAATGAACCGATTGTTTTACAGAATGCTTTCTCCCATGAAGGAACTGTTTGTTGCCAGTTAATACCTGAAAGAAAGAACATTTGGTTATCCTTCACGAATATAATATGTAGTAATTAAATAAAAGAAATAAAACCCCCAACATGGTTGCCAATTAATGTAATATGTATGATAATACTACATATGTGAGCTGGTTCTATAAATTCAAGTAAAGAATGGCACAAAAGAATGACACCTGTTTGAGAAAACGCAACTTCATTCTTCACAGTAAACCAAGGGTATGTCTGGATCCTAGAAAATGCTTTACTTGAGAAAATTTTCATTTCCATACAACTCGCACTATTGTGAAAGGGCTTCGTACATACAATTCCATACTTTAACATGTGATTATTCTTTTACATCAAAAGTTGATTATTATGTAATACTCCATGTAATATATGTAGTTATTCCATAGCTAAGGCAGAGAGGGGTAGGATTGCTATTTATTTTTTAATCTCATTTCTGTATTTAAATGAATGAAAATAAAGGGGAGAGAGGCCTGGAGACTAATAAATATATAGTAATGAATGATCTAATTATGTACGAGTATATAATTATATCTTTTCCAGTACCTGCAATCCCATCTTCACAAACATGCAAATCCAACTTAGCATAATAACTTGGCTAAAATAAATTTAAGCTTCAAGAAGAAAAAACACTATAAATATTATTACGTATATATTTATACCAGCAAGATATGACTTGTCAACACGAGTCATTTTTTTTTTGGGGGAGGGGGGGGGGGGGGGGCTGAATTAGAGTATCCGCCATAATATGATAACAAGCTCATAATCAGTAAGTAGGGTTAGGCGGAGGAGGATCTACATTAGTGCTATAGTAGGTTGAAGCCCAGAGCGACTTAATTTTATATATTCTTTTAGTTTTTTTTTTTTTTTCTATTTTCATATTTAGCTCACTTCATAATTACTCTTCACCCCAGTCCAACTCAGAATCCTGAATCTGCCTGGGCAAGAATTGGGTTAGATAATCCTATATACCTTAACGGAGAATCCACTCCCAATCCCTTTTCCCGCCTCTCTCTCTTTTTTATTGCTTTGCCCATTTACTATCTTTGCTGTTTGCACCGTTGTTATCTGGCGTTTCAATTCTCCGCACACAATTTGCGCTCTTCTCATTTACTAATAATAAATAAATTCATAATTGCTGTTCGATACTCCTCATTTACGACTCATCTCATATTTGACTCACTACTAACCACCGCTTCTTCGCACTGCATCTAAACTTACTTACAAGTTTAGATGCAAGCAATTTTGCACCTCTCCTACTTACCACCTTCTGTTCTCTTCTTCTCATCATAACTATCTCCTGCAATTTGCGTTGATTTCTTCTGACATTCTCACCTTTGGAAGATGAAAACACTCTCTCTACGAATCAATCAAGTCTCACAACGAACAAAAATCGTAGGGGGAGCACAGAAGCCTTTCGCAGGTGAAATCACCATCGCCTTTGAGCCCGTCAAGGTTCCGCACCCAGGCCTCTATAATTCCCACAAAGAGACCGCTACATTGTAGTATATCAATCGGTGACCGTTGCTGGTATGTAAGACGTCGAGATGCTTCGTCTGCCTCTCTCTCAGCCGAAATCGACCCCCTTTCGAAGAAGTCAATACCCCCGCCTCATATTATTGATGCTTTTCTAATTTGTTGCAGAAAAACAAGGTGCTCACAATAGAAGTTGATGGTTATCTATTTTTTTCACTGTGGTTATCTATTTTTTTTAAAAAAACTGTGCTTTTGTTCTTATATACATGTCAATAGAAGTTACTTATGACATCAGTTTTGTGTTGCTATTGTTTGTTTTCTGGTTTGGCTCTTTTCCTACACAGTGGTTTTATGACATCGGTTAGTTTTTTTTAAACATTTAGAATGAGATTAGAAGCAAGTTCTTTATAGTACACTAATTGGTTTCTTCAAATTTGAGAATGAGAACACAATTACTATATTATCTCATATTCTTTTAAACTTAAAACATTCTGCTAAATTTGAATTTTAATCCAGTTATGGTTTTATTTTAGATTCATATTTTCAACAACTTACTAAGTTCAGGTTGAATATTTTAAAGATTGTAATATAATATGTAACTAACTGATGGATAAATATTCACCATCTTTATCTAATAGATTATTACATTCTAATAGCGTATTCTATGCACATATCTAAAGTATCACC